TATATATATATATATATATATATATATATATATATATATATATCAGGTAAATTATCAATTCTATCATTTCTATAGTAATTTACATTATTTTCAGCATAGTCCAGCTTTAAAAAATATTATAAAAAGAAATGTAATTTCCACGTAATTTTTACTACAATAACAATGATTGTAATCACTTGAATGTTTTTTATATTATACAATAGAGTAGAGAGAGATCGTGAAATTTATTCTCTATAATAATTTATATTACAATTTCCTTATGGTTTAGTTTTACAAAAGACATATGAAAAAAAGATGTAAAAATTTTTAATGCAATTTTTACTATAATATTTTGTACTTTTACTTCGCACTCATTCATTAAACGAGTTCTTGAATCAGCGAATCCCTATTTTTTTGTTCTAGATATAGAAAGAGTCCTGACTGCAAGTCGTTTGGGTGAGTGTAGACACAAAAAGAAATTTTCAGGTGATGGGTTTACGGGATAATATCGTTAATATCTTCGAATGAAAATCTCATCTCGGGTTAGGCCTTGTTTATTGGTGCTGTTTGTTAGAGTACATCGAGTTTTACAGTCAATATTCTCTATACAACGACTTTCTGCCGCATTACACATTTTCTCTATATATCGTACGTACACGAATAGATATTTTATGTATACACACATCGACTAGATTGTGGAGTGTCTTCCCTTCTCCGTTTCCGATCGAAATTGATTTAACGCCAGAACCGTTCCAATTCGCGAAGAACCCAAGTCGTTGCTCACCAAGCGGGAAGCGCATCTGCGGCAGCAAATTGCGCTGCAAACCAATTGACATTTTGGCCAACCTCGCCGATCCTTCCCGTGGATCTGGATTACAAAATAAGGCTAATTGCCAGGGATTTATGCTACACCAAGAGAAATTATCCGATAAAAAATTAACAAATGGATATTTCCCATCGAATTCCGATTAATTTTTATATCAAATTAGGATATCCGATTAAATTTGATCGGATACTTCCGATAATGGCATTTAATCATCATAATGGTAATCATAATAGTATTTCATCAGATAAACCGATCAAAAAATTATGAATCGATATTTCTCATCGAATGTTTTCTGATCGGATACAAAAAATTGATATTTTTTTCGGAATTGATATTAATATTTTAATCGGAAATATTCGTTTATTAATTTCTTATCGGACAATTTCTCTTAGTGTAATGTACGCGACATATATGGATCGCGTTTACCTTGTCGTTTTTAATGACATTCTGGTCTATCATATCATGGCTCGATCGCCAAATTTACAGAGCTATGGTCCGATGTCGCGAACGATGCATACGAATTTCTCCCCGAGATCTCAGATCTATACTGATTTGTAAACACTATCTCTGTCGAACGCGGCGGTCGGATATCGGCGACGATTAAATATTTGTCTTACGTTCGTCAGACTCGTTATCTGACGCTTCGGGATATTTACAGGCAAACGAAGTACTGAGAATAACGGAGAGACAGTAAGTCGCCCTCGAGCGCGACTGTAGATATCTCGATAGTAGCACGATACATCTCCGTGCTCGGAGATAGGGATGCGTGTAAAAGAAAGTGGCATTCGGTTGATTTCCATCAAGGGAAGCTGCACCACGTGTCGGCCGAATAATCCGCAGATGAGAGACTTTATTCTGGCTACATAGCGAATGTTAAATACGCCTTTCCAATTCCAAGTTGCGTTTCTCTTACACGAACATCAACATTGTTTCAGCTGGAGAACTAGACAGGCATATTTAACATTTGATACGCGTTAGGTGATCGGTCATGTATCTTTTCCTCTGGCATGAACACTTATGAAAAGTTTCACGTGAAAAGAGTACGGCTAAGTGCTTATAGATATTTTGGTTCTTTCTCAAAAACTTTACATATTCCAATTAATGATACGTCAATTGGAAGTTTATGTTAAGTAAAATAAAAATATAAAGATTTTATTCTTGTAGTCGTATAATTTTATATATATAATTTTTTTAGCTACTATATTAATTGCTTGTTAAGATTACAATTTTTTGAATCGTTTAACTCTCGAACCACTAGGAAAACAACATTAAGATTTTATATTCTTGATATCCATTCGTTCTTCTTCAAATCGATGTATCACTTATTGGAATATTTAAAATTCTACGAAATTTCACGGAAAAGGAATAAAACTTGGTCGTGCTCTTTTCATATTTCCATTAGTCACGTTCAGCGGAAAAAGCCCTTTGCGCTGCGCTGCCAGCAGCTTTGAAACTGTTCGTAAGATTTTCTGTTGAACGACACTGAGCGACTTACGCTCTCTCAGCATGTTTACCAAGCGATTCAGCATAGCGAAAGTGCGCTAGGAAAAATATCGACTGTTCAGTAAATTAAGTTGGAAAAGCGCAAATCGCTAGTATCGTTGAGAAGAAAATCTTACAGTCGCAAAGCCGCTTCCAGCGCTTTTTCTGCTGAACGCAGCCATTGTTCGGGAAGTTATATAATCGTTAAAGACTCGAGTTCACGTGAAACTTTTCACTTTTCACGTTTCTTAGGAAACAGTTACATGATCGCCACTCAGAATAGGGCTCGAGGTCTGCGCACGTCATTCTCAGTTCTTCGCGAAACTAACGCTAATCGCATCTTCGCTCTTTTGTGCCTTCGGATTATACGTGTAGGAGATAGAGACAATCCCTTCCTCTACGGGACGTTGAAAAATAATTCGTTAAGTAACGACTCGATTAGTGTTCCCGAGCCAGAGGAGTAGTCAGCGATCCTTCGATACCTCTGTCGCGATATTATGACTTATATTGTCCGATAATATTATATTACATATCTTGATCAGTGTCTTGCATTTTTGTTATGAAGGGTCCTTATTCAGTAAATCGGCTCCGCTGATTACGAATGTAACCACAGAAACTATTCATCATGTCGAGTTTCCGACAAAAACGCGGGTTTAAATCCCCAAAAATGTGTTTTTGGCTATTTTTATAAATTGTTAACGTATAAACTAAATGTGCCAACTTCGAGAAAGCCTGAAATTGAAGCTTGAATCTTTATTTTTATTTTAAAAAGTCGGAAACTTTTCGTAAAAGTCACCCTCATAGGAGAATGAAGTATTACCATAAAATACAACAAAATAGCTAAATTATTACTCACACTCAACAAATTTCTGGGTAAATTTTTGTTTGAGATAGGTTCAGAAAATAATAAGATTGTAGGAAAAAAATACCTTATTTATACATATCGCACATACCACCTTTGAAGGAGTTGAAATTGAACAAATAACTTAGAACTAAATTTAAAAAATTGTGTATCCTGCAGAATGGATCTTTGACTACATTTTTGTTATAAAAAAGTACAATGGTCCTTAATAGAGGAGTTTTTGTGGTCATGAATATCCAAAAATTTGTTGGATATGAGATAATTTATTTTGTTATATAAATTTATGACATTGACTTCATCCTCCTGTGAGGGTGGCTTCTACGAAATTGCACTTTGAGTTTCCGACTTTTTAAAGTGACGAAGGTTCAAGCCTCAATTTCAGACTAAAGTTACTAGCATGTCTAATTCATGCGTTAGGAATTTGTGAAAATGATCAGAAACGTATTTTTAAGGAGATTTAAATCCCTTTTTTCTCGGGAACTTGACGTGATGGACAGTTTTCGTGGTCATATTCAATACATCTGATTTACTAAAGAACGACCCTTCTCATAATATAGTGTAATTTCGTCCGATAATAATCGGAAGCACCGATTGTAACGCTAAACAGTGGCTCTTCGCGTCGTTTCCTCCACGGGGTTCTAATCGACCCACTAATATATATTCTTCTCGCGTTTCATACCGCATATATTCTCTGTCTATTATCGTTTAGCTTGTCTCTGTATCGTACATACATACATACGTACACACACATATACGGACATACACACGCATGTATAAACTATAAACGAGCAAACGAACAGCGTGCAATAACATACGAATGTCAGTGACGTTCGCGTCGTAATTTCCCGAACGGATAAATCGCTGTCGATCGTTCGCGTCTGCATCGGAAAGTTGTCCGCGCGAGCAAAGTACAATATATTCCCGTCCCTAGAACGAGTGTTCTATGTAAAAATGGTATTAGGGCGATCTGTCCGGTATAAATGAACAATTAAAATCTGTAAATAAACACTCAAGCACCAAACAACGAACTACATTGAGAAAAAAACAATTGGATCGACAAAATTGGCGATCACTTCAAAATATTACATTGTCGGACAAATCACACGTTAGTGCAACAAGTTGCGTTAATATAGTTATCAACCAAATCGCAATCATTGAGTCAACTCAAGAGATAACTTTGATTGAGATAACTCATCACAGTAAATATATAATTTGTTCAGTCGACTAAATGTTTGCTTGAGCGAATTTTTCTCATTAACTCAACTACTTTTTCATATAAACACGGTTTTTAAGAATACAATCAAGTGAGAGAAGGAAGGCAAATTAGAGCCAGTCACGGTTGTTAGACCGAATATTCAACTTTAACTTTATAAAATAATAGGGAAAGATAATAGGGGAGACCAGAACTAGATGCTCTATATTGTAGGATCTTGGAGTTACAATTTCTCAGACAACTAATTGTTGTGACTGATTGTACAGACGTGATGGAAACATCCTTATTCTATTTGTTAATGCCCGCTACAATCTTGTTAACTGTATATTTTGTTTCGGAATAACCAAATACGCGAATATATAGCAACATAGCTATTTTATCCTAGTACTGGGTTCAGTTGTTTAGTAGCGCAGGCTATTAATAGAAAATTTTGAAGCGGTTGAAAATTTACTTTGCTATTACCAAAAAATTAGTTTTTTTTTCTATTTCTTAGCTGTAATATTATTCCGATTTTAATGGAACTAAGGGAAAAATATTTGTTCTAAAAAGACTATTTTGCGATTTTATAACCACTATTCCTCTCAAGATAAATGCTGAAAAAAAGATATGAGCAATATGGCTCTGAGATCATATAGTTCCGGTCTCCTCTAATGTGTGACAGTGTCAACGTATGTGCAATCTTTCACGTCAGACTGACCGCATATATATCAGAAAATTATTAATATTAATTACTCCTTAAGCCAATATTTGAACAGGCGAAGCCAGCTTCCCTGGTTAAAATGACGTCTAATAACACTTTACTTAAACTCTTTTTTGCACAAAGAAGAGTTTCGAAACAAAATAAGAAAAGTGTTATTAAACATTTGATACTCTTTCTTACTTTTTTATTTCCGCTAGGGTTATCTTTCCGCAACGCACTTCTTATATAATTACATAGTCTGTGAGTTACTCTAGTCACTTACTTGAACTATAAAGTGCGCCACATAAAGTAAAAGCACCAATACTTGGACATGTACCTGATCCTAAACATTCTTATCGTTTTGGTCTTTAAATATAGATATTTAAACTTTCAACATAAAATATATATACAAGTATCAAGTATATACATACATTCTATGTTAAAAGTTTAAATATTCATACTTAAATGCCGAAACAATAAGAATGTTCAGAATTAGGAATTGGCATTTTACCTTACCTTAATACTATAATAGACACTAAATCATTCATTCACTGGGCGAATATTTAATTACTAGACAGATCGCCCTAGTGACGGATCAACGTCGTATCAACGAGGGCGGAAAACTAGAATAAAAGACGCTCCGCGCCGGAAGTGCGCTTTCGAAAAATCCGTAGCCGCGAGCCGTGCGCGATGCACAATTGACGTCACGAGGGGAAAATATATCGGAATATAAAACACATGTCGTTGAAAGAGTGACCGTCGTTAATCGAAGTACAAGAGTAACGGGGACGTTCTATATAAAAAGAAGCGCGGCGAAGACCGCGCATAGTTGTTCCCCTGCTCTCCGGGAAATACAGAACAAACAGTTCGTCGTAAAGGCTCGTAAAGTATTAGGCAGGTACTGTATTATGTTTCGCTAAGATACTTCGCTCGTTGTCCGCGTGGAATCACTTCGGATTCGCAGGATTAATGTCGCCTCGTGGCGCGCGCGGGCTCGACGTTATCTTTTCACCTACATTACTTTCATGTGTTTCATGAGTTGCGTGAGTTTCGACGCGTCCCCTCAAGCGCGCGTGCTTCGCGGAAAATCGCTACTTTTATTATTTCTTTTAAATAATCGTCAATTGCTTAACTACGTACGGCTGTAAGATACGTGTAGCAGGAGATCTTCGAGCTCTCACTCTCTTAAAGTGAATCAGTAAAAGGAATATTTCAGAGGATACTCACTGATTTTCAGTGAAAACACTGCCACTTTACTGCTCCGTCTTATATCTCACTGATTCTAATTAAGGAGTGTCAAGAAGTGGAGGAGAGTAAGATTTCACTCCAAAATCAGCAGTACACAAACTCGTTATGTGCTGAATCCAACTTTTTCTGCGTTCATGGTGAGGGAATTAGCGACTTCAATGCGATTTGCGTGCACTCAAAAAAATGTTTTGCTAGTCCACGTAGAATTCTAAGTGTCACAGTTAAGATTGATCGTTGTTCTTCGTATCTGCTAAAAAAATTGTCTGTGGTACGTAGAATTCACAGCAGCAGCATTCTAGCAGTGTAAATTCTGCTAGTAAATTTAGGTAGACGTGAGAATTATACACTCGTTTGTCTTCCATTGCTAGTCTTCTTTATCTACCACATTCACTTTTATAACAATTCTGATTGACCTTAATCTGAATGGACGCCACAGAGAGAGGCTTTCTTGCTAAATTTCACAAACAGTTCAGATAGAAATTTTGTCTCTGTCATCCATATTGATTAAATACAGTATATTTATATGATATCGCAAGGTTTGCTAGTCGCTTATCTATTTTAGCAAATTTTTTATATCTGGATAATTTCCGCTGTAATTGCAAGACCACTTTTTTGAGTGTGCACTCTGTATTTGCAAACTGCATCAATAATAGAAGAAACGGTTGCTGCACAGAGAAAGAAGTTTGGTTGTACTAACATGAAGTTTGCTTGTAATGAACGAACCAATGTGTTTTAGTGGAAGGAAACGGAATTTTTATTCTTTGAATCAAATTTAAACCGTAAGGACCCCGCTGAAATTCTGTGTCGTTCGACTACAGCGCGTTGATTTGCTCAAACTTCACGTAGGCCTAATCAAGTCTTTTCCTCTGTGTACTATTGACCGGTTCTTTCAGTGAAATTTTGTTGATTGCGGCAATATACTTGTAACTGAACCACCCGTGCGGCATTTTCAAACCACAAGTGTAGCATTTCAGTGAAGGATACACTGATTGTACTTTAGAGAGCATACCTCGTGGAGGACACCCTCCACGAGGAAAGAGCGGATTTCCTTTCCGCGCGAACAACGCGGTCCATCTCCTCCCGATACATCGTGAATGATGTGAAAAATGGCGCACCGCGATATCCGTCGCTCCTTCAACACTCAAGTTTCGCCGCGTTAGAGCGTGCTCGCGTTAGAAAAAACTCGATATGTGCGTAACGCATGTAATATATCAAACAAGAGCTCCGCGATGACTACTACAAAGTTCGACAAGTAGGCTTGGCACGTGCCGTTCTTGGCGACTAACTTTGCGACGGAGAACGTCATCGGAACAGGCCGGACTGTTACACATGTGTCGACTTTCTGTATCGTTCGATGCAGATGTACGCCCAACATCATGTTGGAAATAATTGGAAAAAGTGCCTACGTAACTGCCGTTGCGTATCGGTGACGTAACACGTGACTCATCGAGAACATTCACTCAGAAGAATGTTTTGCTGGACCAATTCGAATTCTAAATGCCACAGCTGAAATGTATCGCTGTTTTTCGTTGTCCACCAAAAAATTGTCCGTGATACGTGGGATTCGCAGTAGCAGTAGCGTTCTGGCGATATTTACAGAAAAATTCAGGTCCCGTTATCAATTTTTAATAAGCAGTACGACCGGACCTTCATCTGGATGAACGTCATACATAGAGACCTCCTTGCTAAATTAGACAAATAGTCCACCCATAAATTCCGCCTCTGTCATCTATGTTGATTAAATGCGACACATACGCGACATAGCAGTATTTGCTAGTCATTTATCTATCTCAGGGAATACGTCTCTTGTATCTAGATAATTTTTCTCTATCCAAGACCATTTTTCTGAGTGTTGTCAAGTTCCCGGTTGCACAGCACACAATTGCGCTACGCTTTACGCACCTACACGATAGAAATTAACGCGGACGATTTTGCAATTGAAATTAATCGCCAGCGCGTTTCGCACGACAACGTTTTGAAGCGCGACAGTAACAAAGCGACAAACCGAGGCGTCTTATTCGCTCTATCACGTTCACTCATTCTCTCTCTCTCATCACTCTGCCATAAAATTCCAATTCTAACGGGCGCGATGCAATTGATAGTAATAAAGCCGACACGCCGACGCGATGACCGGCGGGTTCTCATTAGTCATGTGTCAAATCAAACGCCGGTCGCGGGCGACGATGAATTCGCGCGAGGAGTGTCGTGAGAGTAATGTCGCGGGGTCGTCGGGAATATCGAAAATACTTTACAGGCCGATCGGCGCAACGTCGATTGGCTCTTCGCAACATCGTGATACGATGTAACGCGTAACAATCACGCGCGTTGCATCGAGCGCTAGGATGACAAATCGACAGGGAGCGCGAGTAGGCGTACACACGCGAACTCCGGGATACATTTGATTGATTTAAATAGGTAACGTCGCGATAGAGACTTCTCCGCCGCGTCTCCTCCGTGTCTCTCGCGAGAGCTACGGAAATCGACAATCTCGACAAATGCGGGAGAATACGTCCGGTGTATTGTGTCTGTATCGCGACGTTCCGTTTGTCGTGCCTCCTTTGCTGTCGCTGCACTTCCGCTAAGCTGAATGCGCGACTTCCGTGCACGAGAATTCGCGAAAGAAAGCACGGCTCTCGGTTGCTTTTCCGCACGACACAGGAAGCTCGTGTCTTATTCACATCGCGCGCGATGTAGCTTCCTACGTCGTCCTACGTTGACGTGAAACGAGCGCGCAGATGTCTCCTTATCTTTGCTGGCTCTCTTCCTTATGTGTGCAACACGCATCATGTACTCTTATATATTAGCAGAATATATAGATGCATATAACGCGCGCGACGCGCGCTCTCTCGCCGAGGCTGACTCGCCACGCTTGCTCAGGCGTCGACTCCTCGTCTTGTGCGTGTAATAATCAGGTAGACGTCTTGCCCGTCGGGAGAAGCGGTACCAGTGCGGAAGCGACGTTCTTACAGAAGGGCACAGGCGGTACCGTGCATCACCTCGGAGATGAACATCGGTGTTCCGGCGCTGAGGCCGCCGTCGCCTTTCTCTTGCTCGTCCTTCTCGTAATCGCAGTCGAAGTAATGGCTCTGCGGCAGAACGTAATTTTTACGATGAAATTCTCAACATTCGCGCGCGTCTCGCATCTCGCGCTTTCATTCTCGAACGAAAGCTCTTGTTGTCACCGCAATCGTAGTACGGAAAAACATAATTGTAGTGCGTTTAATTAGAGAGCCGTTAGTTTTTTTTTTAATCACTTGGCAACATCGTGGCAAACAAAATCTCGAGTTTAAATGAGGCATTTTATTCTCGACAATATTATTCTTTTCTATCTTTTCAATTTTATTGTGTTAACTTTGCTGGGAAATATAGACACACTGAGAGAAAAAAATTTCTAAGAAATTAAAAATATTCGGTGGATACTAATAACATATTTAGAGTTATACCAAAATATTTTTCAGATAAAAAATATACATTCTTTTAAAATTCTAGCTTTTTATGGAAGCAATTGTTTGTTTGATTCAAATAAAAGAATTTAGACTTATTTCCATATATTAGTATCGATAATAATATCGATATTTATATATTCCTATCGATAATAATATATATTTTATATATTATTATCGACTATTATTTCGAATATTGCAAAACGGTATAGAACTTTTATGTTCATCTTCATCCGCTCTACGTTCCCCGTGAATGTTGTGGAAACGCGAATCTGGGACACTGTATATTTTTATTTAAAAAATATTTTATATTTAAAACTTTTTAAAATATTATGAAAATTATATTATTTTTAAAAATATTTTTTTAATATAAATATTTTTAAAATATTATGAAAATATAAATATTATAAAACAAATATATAATATAAAATATTAACTTTATATTATTGATTATATTATTAATTATATGTATATTAATGGTATGAGAGGAAATGTACACTCTTTCCTAAAATTGCGCGTTGCTTTTCATGAAAGAGACTAATTATGTATTATTTATTTTAATATTTATTAGTACGCACCGAATAAATATTGTTTATATATCTTAGATATTTTTTCTCTCACACTCTTCATAAAATTCTCTCCGACGCGATATTTCTCGCACACGTACCTGACAATCCAAGCACCTGCAGTGATCGCTCATTTTGCAAGTTATGCCCCACTGCTTCGCCATCGCCTTGTAGAATTCCTTGCTCGATTTGTGGAGTATCTTAGGTCCCTTGAGCGCTCTCCTGTCGCCGCCACCGTCGTCGCCGCCATCGCCACCCTCGGCGTTCCCTGCACTTTTTTCGTTATCGAGGACCTGCCTCTCCCTGGCTGCCTCCTTCGCCTCTCGTAACGCCACGGCCGACGATCCCATTCGTGTCTTTATCGTGTAACGTCGATACAAGACCGCTAGAGATCAGTCCATTACGAGCGCGGTGATGGAGGCACAGCGCGAATTGTCGCGCGATGGATCGCTCGCAATTCCAACGCGACTCACACGCCAGTAAGTGTGCGGATCATACGTTCGCCCGCATTACATTTTCCATCGACGAGATGTCGCGAACATTGACAACACTTGGAGAGCTCGGGGCGCGTACATTTCGCATTCATTTCGCGATATTAAACGGGCGTGTTGTCGCCGCGCGCGATCCATCGCCGAAGAAGAGGAACGATGACCGACAGCGCGTTTGATTCACGCGCGCGAATGTCAATGGTGTTATACTTTAACGTTGATTTTTTTTAAAGAGCAACATGCGACAATTCGCGTGTCGGCGCGCCCTTCATTAGCAAGTGAAATTCATGCACTCGAAGCACGGCGCACTCACCTCCTCGAGCACGTGCTCATACGAGGGCGGGGGCGAGCTGGGGATCGTCTGTTCATTCCTGATCGACAAACAGTTCTTGTCGGCCTTCGTGTCGTTCGCATCCGCGTACTCGTCCGACGGCAGGGACGATCGATCGACCTGCCGTAGCTGTTCCTCGGTTTCCACGCTGTTGCTGCGATTATCGCCGGAGCTCCGCGACTTCAGCATCTTGGAGAAGCGTAACTTGAACGGCGCCAGCTTGACGGATTTCTTCGTCGCGGTCGCCTGCGGGAAAGAAGGGAGAATTTGCGAGAGCCGGACATTGCGTTCGCTGGGCCCGCGGGACATACGCGCGGCTTGCGCGGGTGTATCCCCGCGGATGTAGGTGCACTCCGAGAGCGGGTCACGCAACTGCACCGGATGCATCTGTCGTTGACCCACTGACCGAGTTCGCGGGTATCGGCGGTCGACGTACCGCCACACTCTCCCGACTTGGCGCATTTGCGGCCGACTTTACAGACGCGAAGCTTACCCCGCCCTTAAGCCCCTTCCGCGAGGGAAAGGTCGGTGGAATCGAGGGCGAGCTCGAGGGATAATTCTGACGCGTCGCGTCACTCGATATCACCATTTCGATTCGATACGCCATGATAACGTCCGCCGTCTAGTCGCGCTAATCTTTTACGTATTCTTACGTGTCGGATGAAATGCGCAGTTACCGGTAACGTGTTTTTATACGCGTTATTATACTGAATTTGCGTTATGAATGTACAGGGTGACGCCAAGTGTCCCACACTTCCTGTAGATTAGGTCAAATTGAAGAGATAAGTTCTTTACTATTTCGCAAACAATCACGTAGATTTTTTTAGTTATTAGTCAAAGAAGATTGACGAATAAACGCACGCGATATGTCAGATGAATTGTGATAGCAACGCCTAATATCATGTGATTATAGATTATGTCCAACTAAACAGTAAATTTCTTTACCATTTCGTAAACAACGTTGATTTTTGAGTTATTAATCAAAGAAGACTGGCGAATGACCGCACGCGATTATAGATGAGTTATGATAGCAACGCCTGCCATCACATCATTATAGATTAGATCTAATTGTGTGAACAAAAAATTCTCTACCATTTCGTAAACAACATCAAATTTTGGATTATTAATCAGAGAAGATTAGCAAATAATCGTGTGCGATAAGGTACTGATGTGCTTTTATTAATAACTAAAAATCTACGTGGTTGTTTGCAAAATGGTAGAAAATTTTTTTGTTCAGTTTGACCTAATGGACGATCTCACGACATATTTTTGTAATTAATAACTCACAATTTTACGTTATTGTTTGCAAAATGGTAGAGGAATTTTGTGTTCAGTTTGACTTAATTTACATATACACGAAATATGGGACACTTAGCGTCAGATATACTTTGTATATTTGGTACATATACAGGATGGCTTACAACCCTATGACAAGCCAAAAATTCTAAAAATATTTGTCGTAAAAAAGTTGTTGATGAGAAAGTTTCATGTATTCGAGATCTTTCTAACCATGGAAACAAAAATTCGCTCCCGCTCTCCCTTAAAGGGGAGAGGAAGTTAACTTTATCTGGAACATTTTTTTGAAAAATGCTTCTATCAAAAGTTATAAACATTTAAACTTTAAAGTATAATGCATTCAAACTAATGTGATAAATTTTAAATTAAATAAAAGACTTGTAGTTTTTCTGTTTTTTGCTTTATTAAAAGTAAAACTTATTACATTTTATTTAATTTATGGAGGGGCAGGAATGAATTTTTGTTTACATAATTAAAAAAATCCCTCGAATACATGAAATTGTCTCATGAACAATTTTTTGATACGACAAATATTTTTAGAGTTTTTGGATTGTCACAGTTTACGTGGGCTATTCTCTCTCTCTCTCTCTCTCTCTCTCTCTCTCTCTCTCTTTCTATATATATATATATATATATATATATATATATATATATATATAGTACATATGTGTATATATTTCATGAATATATTTAGAAAGGTGTTTACGTTTATTCGGCACTCTAATCTGTATATTGATCACACTTAGGAAGGGTCGCAATTAATTAATAAAATCTCGTTATCGAGTATGATGGATGGACGAAGGATAATAAGATTTATAGTTTTTGACGTTATGAGGTAAACAAAGAAGATTGGAGCTACGCCGATCTGCGCCGCGATGTCGGTTCACTAGAAGTAGTCAATAAAATCCGTGCCAAATCACCTGGTCCTTTGACCGCGAGCACATAGAATGCGCCCTTTCTAAAGTCAAACATCATGTTAAGTATATCATAACATTCTGTCGCCGTGATGGCGGAAAACAACGATGATAAAGTATCGATATCTGCCGATAAGAACAAATCAGAGCCCTGACGATGAGCGGAACTCCCCACAGCGTCGTGCAGTTAGTGAAATTAAATTGCGAGAGGTCAAATTGCGAAGGGACGAAAAGCGGCATCCTCTATATTTCAACGGAACCATCATTTGAAAGTTACCGGGCGAATGTCTGTGGCATAACGTTGGAGAAATTTTCGATTCGAGGGAATATTGACTTGTAATCGAACAAAAAGAATCTGCGGTTGAACGGTGGTACGGGGTTGATCCGGGACACTTCGAATAGTTCTCTGACTATCCAACGCGGTATCCTTCTGAAAGGTGCATCGGAGTGTTCGCGGCGTCCAAGTTGCGCCTCCGGAGTCGTGCAGTTGACGAAGTCGGGAGCAGACGCGGTGGCGGGTTTTCCGATACGTACTCGCAAGTGGAACAGACCCGTCTGAGGTCAGACGCCGCAACGCGAAGCCGTAAACGGCAGCTGTCGTTTGGATTTGACGGCGAGCGCTGAAAATTACGACAGTTCGGACAATGCCGTTGTATTCTCCTTCGCCGCCATTTTCTACGAGGTAGAATTATGCTCCTCAGAATCATCCTTCTCTGCTATGCTCTCTCTCTCTCTCTCTCTTTCTTTCGAAAACATAGGACTAGAATTATAGTATTTAGTGCTGTTACGGTGAAGATAGTGTGGAGAGTATTGCGTAAACAAAGAACATAACGAATTTGGAAGTACTCGAGGACTTTAACAAGATTTGAAGCAACTAGATAGATCGATAGCATTACGCCAGCCCTTCGCACCCTTTGACCTTAACTTCCGTAATTTCAACGAGAGATTAGCAATCCAACTTGACTCTTCTATTAACGATAAAAAAAGAAAAGAAACTAAAAATGATACTGAATATGATAAAAAGAGTCAGGAAACTCGTTTACAAGACATACTCGACGACGTATAATTAATTTCGAAGAGTTCCCATTGGCGTAAGGTGTTATGTGTCTAATTGAATTCTCGGAAGTTCGTCGTGCGCGTAAATAAAACACGGCAAATACGCGCGAAAGTTAAATTGCGCGGGCGAACGTGAAGACGAAATATTCTACTTGGTTGACGAAATCAGCGTTCTCGGCAGACAAGACGGACGGATAAGGCGGTGTCTTATCGCACAAATGAAACAGGCGACAAAGTAGGTTGCATCGGTCGCCGGGGTCGCGGCGAGGACCCACGCGCCTTCCATCCACCCCCTAGAACTGGACGGCGTGTCAGTGGCCTGAGCTAGTAGCAACGCACTCCCATCCTGGGCCAACACCCCTCGCCCTAGTTTCGCTCTCGCTCGGTCTCTCATCCACCCCCGCGCGCGCGACGCTTTCATTCCGTGGGTGTAACCCACGCGAACCCTTCTCTCTGTTCCACGATCTCTCGCTGCCCTACGCTGTATCTACTCTGTGTCGCGTCCGTCATCCTGATCCTCGTTGCATTTGCGCCCGCTTCTTCTTTTTCTTCTTCCATTATGGTCTGTCCGCGTGTTTACGTTCCACTGTCGGGCAATCGCGTCGAGCTCATTCGGTTCGTGTCGATTCCGTTTGTCTGTAGGCGTACCGTAAATCCGCTCGTATTTTCTCGCGCAGCTCGCGTCCAAATTGCGAGAGGAACACCTACGTTCCACCCAGCTGGTGGTTTATTCTCCAACTCATCGAATTACGTCTCGTAATTTAAATACAGGGAGAAAACAAAGCCAAGGATCGATCGCGACGAAGATTAATAACTGATAAAGTTGCTGAATATAGGAGGATTTCACAGTATGGGAAATTCAAGAGTTACTACAAATTTTTGACTTAACACATTCGTTTTTAAATATTCAAAGGTCGTGACTCTTGATTATTCAAATTGCAATATTTAAACTGTACTCTTTCAGGAGCTATAAGATAGCGAGCATAGTACTTCCATCATTATTCACGTTTTATGATTATGTTACCACTAATAATGTCACGATTATGCGTAACACGTGAATAACCGCAATTATAAACATAAACAAAACATCAAGCTGTCCAAGTGCTGTCACAGCTGCTTGACATCGTTTTCTCAAATAATCAACAGTCGTGATCCTTGACTATCTAGAAATGAATGCGTTGGGTCGAAAATTCTTAATAACTATCTAACTCTCGATTAGAGCACACATGATTAGGGAATAGCAAGGCATATATGCAATCTTGTGTACTTACAGATACATCATCATTTAGGCTCGTCTGTTGACGACCTGTGTATCACAAGCAGGTGCGTAATCGTTAAGGGCGAAGCGTAAATACAGTGTGTGTAGGCTGCTCCCGAAGTACAAGCCATATGCGTTCACGAGGAAGACGTGAGACGTTTGAAAAATTGCACGGAACCAGGCGCGTTGCACGATCCCATCGGGGCTTTTTTGGCGCGGCAACGAATGCCGGAGTCTTATGAATATTCCATCAATCGTGCGTAAATCGAAGAATAATTTACGTAGGTAATCATTGTTCGTTTACACCGAGGTGATTAATCGATGTCGCGTCGCAACCGTGGCGTACTTAGTACGAGGCCGCGTAGACGAGAGAGGATTTATCCCTCGACTCTCTCCCCCCAAACCCTCCGCGCGTCCCTGTCCATTCTCTCCGTTGAACGACGAGAGATGTCTCGTGGTTGTTTTGGAACCCTCGGGATCTCTCTCATCCATGATTCTCGGTCAGGCCGCTCGTGGAAGCAGGAAGGAGCGTTTGCCGTCGGAAAGGGTTGTCGAGAGCAACCGAGTAAACGCGAATCGTTAATGTAATGACGCTCATAACTCCGTGCCTTCATTGTTGATTAAGTAAGCGTAAGTAAGAATGAGGCCCTGTGTAATTTTACATGTTTCACGTGCACCTTTGCTCGGCTGTCTGCACGTAGCGCCACAGTAAATGTATGTAG